AGGATGTAGAACATAATTCTGTCTCACAAAAAAAAAGACCAGATTTACTGGCCTAAAGGAGACTGGAGAAACCCCAGGAGTATGACCCCCAGACACCCTTTTAGCTCAGTGGTGAAGTTGTCTCCGAGGTTGACCGTTCAGCCTGGGAGTGGACAGCCCTGTAAAACCAAATGAGACTAACGAGGTACAGTAGTCCAGTGACAAGGGCCAGAAGGCAGAAGGGGACAAGGAAGCTGGTGATAGGGAACCCAAGGTTGAGTAAGGATATGGTTGATGTGTTGTGAGATTGTTAACCATTGTCATAGGGCAACATTTGTAATAACTGTTAAATGAGAAACTGTTTTGTTATGTAAGCCTTCATCTTAAGTGAGAATAACTGCCCAATTGGAAGAGCATAGTCAATGTCACTGAACCGTGCATGTGGAAATTTTTGAATTGGTGTATCTTTGGCTATGTGTACTTTTCACAAAAAAAAAAAAAGAAAAAAGGTTGAGAAGTTAGAGGGTTGACATGTTGTGGGGTTGTTAACCAATGTCATAAACAATATGTGTACTACTGTTTCATGAGAAACTATTTGTTCTGTAAGCCTTCACCTGAAGTACAACAACAAAAAATAAATAAATAAAGAAAAGAGGAGGCCAAGGACTAAACTCTGGAAGTGGATGGAGGAAGAGACAGCCCAAGGAGGAGAGTGAAAAGTAACAGCCACAAAGGAGAAGAAAATCCATAGAATGTGGAGCCACAGAAGCCAAAGGAAGAAAGTAGTTATGCAAGTTGGTGTCATCCACAGGGTCAGACACTGAAGAGATGCCAAGTAAGATAAATATTGAAAATGTCCTTTGGATTTAGGAACGAGAAAGTCATTGATAACCATGATGAGAACAATGTTGGTAGAAGCTATACTGTGTATACAGTGAATGTTGACAACTCTTAAGAAGCTGATAGTGAAGAGGATGTGAGATGTGAGAAGATGGGTAATGCGGGGTTGGGGAGGATGCTTTTGTTTTGTCTTGTCTAATATTTTTTGAATTTAAAGATGGGAGAGACATGAGCATGTTTAACTTGTAATGGGAAAGAGCCTATACAGAGAGAGAGAGAGAGAGTTTAAAAGACAGGAGAAAGAAGGGAGGGGTAATGGATGAATTAAGTCTCCTAATGATGCGTGATGGGATAGAATTCAAGAACATACGTCAGAAGGAGATAGACAAGGGGAAGTGTGATCCAGTTATGTTTACAGATAGGTGGAGGTGGAAGTGGGGGTGGGGAGGAGTTAGGTTAGGAAGTTCCTCCTAAAACCTTCAGTTTCCTTGGTGAGATCAGAATTGAGGTCACCTGCAGAGAATGAGATGTTGGGAGATGTGGATAAGCAAGAAAGAGGAAAAGGGAGATTTGAAATGGTCACTGCGAGAAATGGGGGGAAAAGTGCTAACTTGGGAAACATAGGATTTCCATCAGCACTGAGGACCTAGCTGAAGTTGGAATACATGAATTTGTAGTGGAAACCATGGGGATGTTGTCTGATTTATTTTAGCAGTCCTAATGTAAGACCAGAGAGGGTAAGTGGTTAGATTGACCCAGGGTTGGGAAAGATAAGGCACCAAGGAAATAAGAGTGAAAGCTATCTGTCATTAAGAATGTGGATTTGGATCAGAGATTCTCAACATTGGCTGCATATTAGAATCACCTGTGGAGCTCTTGAGCGCTAGAGATGTCTGTTAACCATCCCACATCCACTGAATCCAGAACTCTGGGTTCTGACATTTTTGTATTTAAAAAGTTCTACAAGTGATTCTGTGTTCAGCCAAGACAAAGAACCGCTAGTCTAAACCTCAGTGAACTTATTTCAGTACAGAGCCTGAAGATATTCCTGTTGCAGTTTAGAGCATGTGGCATACACTGTTTAGCCCTTGTGGTACTCTAGTTTCTGTGAGGGCGTGTCATTCTGAGACATCTTCGAGAAGGCAGTGCCACAGTATTTTCGATAGGTTCAAAATTAGTGTGGCAATGGAGAAAGGTAGGCAGGGTTGTGAGGAGCTTATGGCTTTCCCCTTAGGCTTAACTAAAGTTCAAGAAGCCTTGGAGATCACTCTAGCCTTTCTGGAGTACCAAGGACCTAACACTGTGAGTCTACACATTTCATAAGTGCCTTTGTAGTGGGCACTAGGATAAACCGTGCTGTGGAGATGCAAAGCTTTGACCACCCTCCTTCCTTGCCTTCAGCTGGTGTCCGTGCTGCATCCAATCCAGTAACTAAGCAGTTTTTCAATGCCTGCCAATGGCCACACTTCATTTACAGCAGTTCATTTACAACATCTAAGAGAGACCCTAGTGAATTTTCAAACCAAGATTCACTTTAATGTGCCTGAAAAGTAGAAATGGGTGACTGTCTTGATTTCTAATAGTAGATTCTAATAATTCCAGACCATTAAGCTTGCCATTAGAAGGATGTGTATTAAGCAAATGTTTACTTAGAAAAAAAAAAATAGTAGGGATTTACTAATGCCAGACTAATAGGATTATCATAATAGTAAATAGATGAGATCTTTAGATAGTAAAACTTGATTTCTACAAAGTGGAGGAGAATGTTTCTTAGAGACAAGATGGAGAAAGTGTCTTATAATGGAGACAACATGGAGAAATGTAGGTCAGGTGATAGTACAAAGAAAAAAATTAATAGCCGATTGAAAGTCTTGATCGAAAGAGCATCTTGAATGGTGTGGATGCTTTCCTCTTGGGCCCTTCAACATTTTTATCAGCAATGTGGATGCAGATGTAGAAGCCTTGCTCATCACATTCCTGAAAGATTCAAAACTGGAAGGGGTGGCTTGTTTATTGTGTGACTGAATCAGGAGTCAGAAAGACCTTGGAAGGTTGAAACAGTGGGTCAAAACAAATACAATGACCTCTTTTTAAAAAGCCTTTTTTATTTCCTAGTTAGAAAAGTAACAAATATGCATTGTTTTAAAAAAAAAAAAAAAAAGTACATAAAATTCTACAAAAAGAAAGTTAGCATAATTTGTTTTTAGTGAAAACATGCTTTTTTTCCCGAAGTAAATATTTGGTTAATGCACAAATGCACATCCTCCCAATGCCATGCTTAATGGACTGAAAAGGTATCACCAATGGATCCAAGCATACACATTTTAAATTTTGATACATATTGTCAAATGGCCTTCAAGAAAGATCATGTCCACTTCCATTTCTATTCTCTGAATAAGAGGATTCATTCCCCAACACATTCACTAAACTGGGTATTGTTTTTATCAATTTTGTCAGTCTCAGATGTGGATGTTTTACTTGGTTATTTAATTTATATTTTTTAAGTTTCTATATTAAGATGAAGCTTAACTGAAATAAAGGTACTACATTAGGCTTATAAATCAGTTGTATGAATGTAACCAGCTCAGTGAGGCCTGGTTTGATAGCAGTGAGGGGAAAGACCCCTGGGAGTTTTCATTGATTACAAACTCATGTAAATCAGCAGTCTGCTGCCACTGCTGCAGAGATGAACACAGTGGTGCCAGTGCTTTCTGGTGATATCTGGGCTCAGTTTCTATTTCTAACCAACGTTAGTAAACTAGAAAGGTATCCATCAGATTCTTGTCAACTAAAGACTGTCCAGGATGGAGAAAGGCCTGGAAGCTGTGCCCTGTAAAGAATAGCTGAGGGAATGGTGTATATTTAACCTAGAGAAGGAAGCCTAGTCGGTGTTCATAATTATTTTTGGATATTTGGATAGGGTTGTTAGGTATAAGAGTGGTTTGCTTTGTTCTGTGTTCAGAAAAGATTAAGACCAGTCAGCAGAAATAGCAGGAAGGCAGATTGTGGTTCAGTGTTGGGGTGGATGTACCTTTGAACAATTGCAGCTGATCACAGATAGTGCTGTCTTGCAAAGCAGTGAGCACCTGACAGTGGAACAGATTGAGGCAAGTGTTAAATAGCTCTTTCAGAGATGTTATGGGGGAAGGAGATTCTTTTTAATTTTTAAAAATATATTTTTATGAACTATTTCAAAAATAAAAATGCTGTAGTTTACAGACACCCATGTAATTACCAGATTTAACATTTTGATATTTGTCACATTTTCTTCATCTTCATGTCTTTTTTTTTTTAAGATACAAAGCATTACAGATACAGGTGAAGGGTTTACCCCCAACCCCCATCCTGCTCTTCTCCCTTCCTCCTGAGGTTGGTGTGATGCCTTTTTGTCCATATTTTTATATTTTTTACTATTTATGTATGTATACCTATACAATGCAGTGTATTATTTTGCATTATATATTTGTTTTTTTCAAAATTCCTTTTTTACATTCAATATTATTTTTGAAGATTTATCTGTGTTAATACATGTAGATCTAGTTCATTACTTTTTACTTTTATATATAAATATAATTATTCATTCCTTTATGAAAGAATTTTAGGCTGCTTCTAGATTTTTCTTGCTGTTGCAGTCAGTCCTACATTGAATATCCTTATACATATTAGAGGGGATTTGTCCTTTGGGAAAGGGGTTGAACTAGATGGCCTAATGTCCCTTCCAGCCCTAAGATTTCAAACTTCAGTTCAATTCAACCAATATTTTCTGATCTCTGGGGATAAAAGCACTAAGACTTGGTCCCTGCTCAAAGAACTCACTGTCTTAGACTCTGAACATTATATTATTTAATTGTTTTTGGTTTCATTTTTAGGTATCTGTAAAGCTTACCTGGTTTAGGAAATCAATTACCTTTACTATGATGGGGTATAGTTTTGGGGTATGGTTTTCAACTTTAAGCCTCAATGTTAACTTACAGTTTTTGCCAAAATGATTTATCTGTCTTAAGAAGCATTTGAAATGGTTTATTTTCTAGAGCTGCTTTGTCCATTTATGATTTATATTAAGAGAAGTGTTTTCTATTTCAACCTTTCTATTGAACTTTGCTCCTTAAAAAAAATTAATTAATGCCACTTACGGTATATTTCTGTGTGTGTTTTTGTGTATATGTGTGTTGTGTTTTTAGGAAAAAGGCTCAGCTCAAGAAAAAAAGGGGTGTGCCTCAGATTAATGAACAAATGCTATTTCACGGTACCAGCAGTGAATTTGTGGAAGCAATTTGCATTCATAATTTTGATTGGAGAATAAATGGTATACATGGTGCTCTCTTTGGAAAAGGTAATTATCAGAATTCCAGGTCCAGTTTGGGTTCTAGGAGAAAATCTACTGTCTTTAGGGATCATTGATTATTCTGTAATTCAGGAGTTTGGTAGTCATTAAGTTAAAAGTTACTATATTAGGTTCCTGGCACACTCTCAGAGTTTTTAAGTCACGGAAAAGTCACTTCTTGTATGTACAAGATTGAAGATTTTTATACCTCTATCAGATTAACTGGCTCCCAAGTCCCAGGCATCCATCCAGATGTGACATCATGTCCATATTAGCTGATTTTTTCATTATATTTTATTCAGTGTCCTTTCCATGCACAAACCTATACACTAAACTGATTTATGGCAAATATAGAAAAAAAGAAAAAAAATTAATTACATTGTACATAGGTGTAGGTGCTAGGTTTTTTTCTTTTTAGAACATAGTGGGTAAGAATATTAATAAGGAACAAGGAATATTAGGTGGAAAACCTCACCTTATATCTAATGCTTGTGAAAGTGCAAGTTCTTCAATTTATGCCCAGTACTCAGTCAAATTAAGGAGAGGGGTGAGGGGAAAGGTACGGGATGGACATTTATTGTTCTGGTCCTTACTTTGTACGTTACATCCAACAAGAGAACTGGCTGTCACTTAATTTTTTAAATAGCTGTTGAAAAGGCCATCTGCTTATTTAACTCTAACAGGATCAGAAAAGTGTTACATAATGCCCATCAGTATTGGTATGATTATTCTCTTGATGATGTCAATCTCTCAAGCCTCCCATTTAGGAAGAGTAACTGCTTTATTGAGTTTTCATGTTTGGAAATGAACCAGTGAAATTGTTTGTCTGGAATGCTTGATAGGAATAACATTGCACTCTCTCAGAAATTTATGGGATTCTATTATTTCCAGAAATATTACTGGTTAACTTGTATCATAGAAATATGGTTTTCTGGGGTTTAGAATAACCTATAGACCAGTAGTTTTCAAATTGTGCTCCCCGGAGCCTTGCTGGATGCAGGAAGAAGGTGGTGGGGTGGGAAAAGTGGTAGGCAGAAGTAGAAATGAGAGAGAGGTCCAAGCCGTTAAAACTGAGGCCCTGTGACACTTAGGATAACCACCGAAACCGTGTTTTTATCTCTTTTACATATTGGGTTTCTTTTTAAGATTTCTTTTGAATACAGTTTCAGTAACTGTAATTGGGGGCTGGAGGCTGCTCTGTACCAACAAATCTATCCGTATGGCCAACTGTACCATAGCAGTCGTTAGCAGATGGATTTCTGTTCTTTTCTTAAAGTTCTACAGATGAGGAAATTCCACATCTGTTTGTTATACAGTTCCATGTGTCTATTCCTGACAATACAGTGTTTTTTCTTGTGTTTAATGCATTCTCAGGAGTAATCTTGGCTCTTTTTTGTCCTTTTGTTTAAGGAACCTATTTCGCTAGGGATGCTGCTTACTCCAGTCGCTTCTGCAAAGATGACATAAAGCATGGAAACACATTCCAAATTCACGGTGTCAGCTTTCAACAGCGGCATCTATTTAGAACATGTAAATCTATGTTTCTGGCTCGAGTGCTAATTGGAGATTACATAAACGGAGACTCCAAATACATGCGACCTCCTTCCAAAGACGGGAGCTATGTGAATTTGTATGACAGCTGTGTGGATGACACCTGGAATCCAAAGATCTTTGTGGTTTTTGATGCCAACCAAATCTATCCTGAGTACTTAATAGACTTTCATTGATTCCAGTATCAAATCTCAGTGGTGAAGGAAGTTTTATTCTTTCTTGCAGGAAGATTTGCTCTCCTATCATCTAGCCACTAAACACTAACTATCTGATACTTTTGAAACAGATATGAAAAACAAGTGGCCTCCATATAAAAAGACATACTGACGTTAAGGTTGGTTTTTTGTTGGTGTTTTGTTTTTGTCTGTTACTCATAGTCCTGCTTTTTAAAAATTGACACCATTGCCATTTTAACACACAGGGGAAAGATAGCATTCAAAGTTGAATCAGCTGTGTCTCAAATAACATGGGCATTCCGAGCCTTTAAAGTTGATGTGTGTGTTTGTTAGTAGGATAAATGTTTTCGGTACAAATAGACTTATCCATATATATGTTCAAAAAATAAAAATATAGGCATAAATGTGTCCCTTTAGAGGAATTCATCCTTTGTAAGTTGAATTCCGGTATTATTATCCACCAGCACATTGCTTTGTTGGTCTTCTGAAGGAAGGAGGGGGGATTTAAAACCCTGCACAGGCTGAGTATCTTGAGAGAAATCAGAAACAAGAAAAGTGTTTGCAGTGCTGCCAAACAAGCCAGAAGGAGAAAATCAAGGTCGAGTGCCCTGCTTCCCGTTGCCTTAAAGGGATAGCAGGCTGCAGCCTCAGACTAGTCCCGTTATTCTCTTCTGTCTCCTACATCTGAATTGACAAGTGCTGCAGACTGTAACTAGCCTACAATTCATCCACCAAGGCTGTTGAGTTCTCTGTACCAAAAACAAGGTGTTTATTGCATCTTCAAAGTAAAACTTTTATTTATTATTTGAAACATTAATTTTCCCTTTCTTTTGGGGTCCCTACAATGATCACTTCTAAGATGTTCTTATTATCTACCCCATGCAGCTATCAACAGTGATTTCTAAAATTCACATTTCTAAGTCATAGCTCTGCATTATGAATCATTGCAGAAAGCGTAGGATGCTTGAGACAAACCTGATTTAACCTTTTGAGTAGCAATTGACAATCTACTTTCTTGAAAAGGCAGATACAATTCAGAACCACATTTAATGGAAACTTGTTTACCTGTCCCATCTGTTTTGCTGTTCTATTACAAGGAAGAATCAGTAGTGTTGGAACAGCTTCCCTGACCCTAGAGATGTTCTAGAAGAGGCTGGACAACAGCTTGGCAGGAATGCTATATGGGAATTCAAATATGAGATGAGGGATTGAAGACATGATTGTTAAGTCTTTCTAGTCTTGATTTGCCATGATTCTGCCTGAAAAAGAGAGCACTTGGAGCAAGCCTTTCCCAGAAAACCTTTTTCTGATTCACTCTGTCACTAAATTTTCTCTCCATTACCCTAACCCAGTTTTGGCTGAAATTTAATGAACATAGTTTAATTTCTCAAGAAAAATCCAGCGAGTGTCCATTGTTTATGCCTAAATGTCCAACTCAATAGTTTGGATTGGGAAGGCATCTAGAAACAATAAAAGTAAAGAGTCTGGAGCAGGATTAGGGATGACAGTTCTTCAGCTGTCATATTTCCCCAGATTTTTATTATAACCCAGGCTACCTGTAATTATACAGTTGAAAGTAAGTAGTACAGAGGAAATTGCACATACAGTACTTTGAAACAAGTGGTAACAAAGATTTTGAGTCAAATGTGCAGACTAACAGCCTGTTTAGATGAAGTGCGGTGAATATTTAGAAAGAACACATTTTAAAAACATTCCAGAGATCATCATGAAAATAATTGGAAGAAGTCAGTAGGCTGTCTTGAGAGAGGTAACACAACTTGGCTCTAGACTTGTTAGTACTGTGCTGTTATTTTGTCTTAAGTGTGTGCTGCCAACTCCCCTTTTATAAAAAAGAGCTGATTTGATACATTCTTTAACAGTGTTAGAAATATTAGGAATTCAGATTTTGAAGATCTTTTTGTTCTACCGATTTGTTATATTTGCATTCAAAAAAATGTTAAGAGTTTCCCCCTTTGGCTGTCGTTTTTTCCAATTTAACATGAATACTTCTCCCATCCCTTGAATGGAATAACTATTGTGGCATTTTAAGTTTATTATTCTTCTAGACATCTTAAGGTGACCGAGAGCCCAGAATCGAGTATTTGCAAGGCAGTCTATGTGGACTCGGAACTTAACTATTTGGCTTATATGTAGTAAACATTCTAGAGTGTGCTGCAGTAGCCATTGTAAGAAAGTATTGTGCTGTTATTTTGTTTGAGAGTGTACTGCCAGCTTCCCTTTTATAAAAAAAGAGCTGATTCGATACATTCTTTAAAATATTGTAGTATAGAATTGATTGATGTTAAAGTCTTATTTCTTGATCTTTGTCAGTGGATTAAGTTGTAAATCCCATAATGACTATACAAGACTGGACACAACCATTTGCCACCTTTTCCTCTTGTCAGCACATAGTGTGGGTGGGAGGAGTGAAGAGAAGTCATTCCAGTTGAATGAGTAAATAGTTTTAAAAATCCTACATTGAATAATTTCTAGCTGATAGTGGCTTTTGTTTTTCACTTTGGTGGTATCAGCCTCAGGGTAAAAAAGACATTTATAAAAAATAGTTTCATAAATCTTTTCATTATGAACAGGAAAGTTTTGTATTAGTGCAACATTTCATTTCCAGATTGTTGATGGTGATGATGATAAAGAATTTGAAGCCATTTTTGCTATATGAACGTACTGTTTTTACATGTGGTGATTAAAGCTTTCCCTGGCAGGTCTTGGTTGTCTATGTATGCCATGTATTTGTTCCTCTGATTTCTCTGTCCCATCTCCACCTTACATTATGTAAACCTGGATTTTCAGCTCAAATTTAATAGACTGTCAAGGAATTTGTTGCCTATAGGTCTTATGTAACCCTCTTTGAGGATGGGGGCTGGGGTGGGGAGTCTCTTGTTCTTAGTTTGAATCATCATGAGCTACTGCTAATCAAATAATCTGTGGGTAAAATCATTCACTCTGTGCTATTGAAAATTCCAAAGCAGATGAAGTCCTGGCATCTACCACATCGCTTCCTCTCGGTGTGCTTCCCTGGCTCAGAGGAGCACTTCTGGAAGGGGTGCCTGTGTCACCTGCAGAGCACACTTCCTGTAGTCCAGACTGCCTCCACCACTCTGGTATGTCAACAGTCGTTCCTTCTGAAACCAGTTAAACATCCTGTTTCTCTTTAAGCTTTTATTGGCAAAAAGGAAGGTATCAATGGATATCCTAATTTTTAAGCTGAGAAAAATGAGGGACAGAATGAGGGACACTTACCCGTGGGGGGAAAAAATCAAGTTTTTCACTTATAAAATCATATCCCCAGTCTATCTAAATGTTGGACTAATTTTTAAGACTTACCAGGTTAAAAATTCAGTTGAGCTTTGGCTGATGATGTATAAGCATGACATCTTTACAAAATTTGTTCCTAGGCCACTCAGGTATTTGAGGTTACCTCCCAGGTGGCCAGGAAACAATCTGATACTAGAAATAATCTTACAGTGGTTGTGGTCGTGCTTTAGACCCCAAATGTCCCTCTGTCCTTTGAGAAGGATGTTTTATTTTTAAATATGACATTTTCTTTTGCTTAAAATAGATAGTCCATTTCTAGATGAAATTATACATTCCATACTTGTAAAAGAGAAAGATAAAAGGTAAATATAGCAGGAAAAGGAAAAAACAAAAAGCCTTGTCAAAAATTATTTTCGATTAGAAACTTTGGCAAGGTGATTTTACTCACTTTACTGATTTTATTTATTTTTATTCTTTACACTACATGCAGGAAGAGGTTTAAAGAAAACCAGCTGCCCTGCCTCACTTTCCTACTAAATAATTTCATGATGTTGGCTTGGGGCAACACAGATGGAAGAAGTGAACATTTCCAAGAATGATGAAGTATACAATTATTTGGGGCTGCCTGGTTAGTGTGAGTAATATATACAAGGAAAGTTGAGCCCTAAATCTTTAAGAAAGAAGTTCAGAGGTCAACCAATGACGCTTTTGCAAAGGTAGTTCACTTCTCATGTTTTCAGAGAGTCTAAGATGGAAGGTGGTTTTGGAGCTCATGTAGTCTATCTTTCCCCACCTCACCACCTTCATAGACTGGACTATACTTGATCCATCCCAGGTAAAAAGATGTCTTGGTTACTCTTAATACCCAGACAGTAAATGCCTTGCTATATCTGATCTAAGTTCTGCTGCTGTATGATTATGTAATCCATTTCTCAGCGTTAATTGCTTAGCTTGAATTCTTCAGCACTGCAGGCTAAGAGCTTGGCTTTTATTTGAACTGTCTCACTATGTGGCTGTGTATCTAAGAATTTAGCCTTAATCTTACTAGTTTTTAAATGACTTTTCATGAGACTAGAACATAGGGTTATGCCAAAGACAGTTGTGTTTTCTGCAGCTTTCTAGCTTTGCTATACTGTCTATCAGGAGGTTATACAGTAAGCTGATTCTGACTCTGTGGCTTATGCTAGCTTCACTACGGTAACGAGCTTAGAAGAGTCCCAATCCAGAATTTAATTCAAGTCATTTTTGCAATATTAATTATAAACCCAGACTGTACTTCTTGTGTTTTTCTGTTCCTTTTTAAAAAATACCTTTTCCTGAGGGGCTTATTATGCTTTAATGTCTCCTAGATAACACGTGGAAGCTGCAGGCATTATAAGCCCATGTTTGATTAACACTCTTAGGAGAATCAGTGTCAAAGCCCATTTCCTCCTCTTTCTTAAAGCATAAGATCAAGCATCAAGTTGGGAGCCAGCTGATCTGAGTTTTATTTCTGGCTTTGCTATTTGACTCAGTGTGATCTTGGACAGCTCACCAGCGGGGGAAGGTTTGCTTTTCAGAAGGTGAAGTTTGTGAAGGGCTGATCGGACTCTTGTTAAAAGAAACAGACCCGGTAGAACCAGCTAGATTTCTCCAGGCAACATCTGACCTGCCTGAGGAAGCTGTTTTTTAGTTTGGGTAAGAAAATACAATCTCAGGGAACATGCTTCATTAAGAAGAAAGAAGTAAGTGCTTAAAGGAGGAAGGGAAAATAATTGACCTGGTTCTTCCTGAAACTCTGCCTCATTAAAGTCCCCACCCCCTCTCCACATTCACAACTCCATTCCTGTGGTGTGCCAGGCAGTGAACAGGTCAGACGTGGCCCCTGTTCTTAGGGAACTTAAAGCCTAGCAGGGAGGACAGATACTGACTAACTGTAAGAACAAGAGCGATGAGCCTCACCAAAGCGGAAGTTCAGGCCACTGTGGGAGTCTGTGGCAAAGGGAGTTAACCCACCCTAGGGAATTAGAGAAGGCTTCTCTAAGAAGTGATGTTTGAATGTGGAGATCTGAAAGGTGAGTAGGTGTTAATTATGTGAAGGATTGATTTGATGTCGCCTGTCCCCACCCATCTGTGCCACATTAGGCTTTGAAGAGAGGAGAAAAACAAGGAGTGGGGTAGAGGCAGGTTGGAGTTTTTTGTTTTGTTTTGTTTTTTCATTAAAACTAAGGGTGGTAAAATCAAAGCCATTTAAAGACCCCGAATGTGTTGTCCCCAGTCTCTCTGTCGGGCCTTGGGGACCAGCTGTAAGGGAACCATTATTGGTGCTAAGGGACATATGGAGGGAGGAGCAGGGGTTATGTAGATTTTTATGTAATTTACTAAGAGAATCAAATTGCCTATTAGGTAGAGGAGTTCATTCTTGCTCCTGCCTTTGCTGCCTCCCCCCAGAACTCACACTCACATACCTCCTTTCTACCTTCAGAGTCCTATTCCTCTGAAGCATGTGCTCTGTTCTCAGATGGCCAGGTTGACTGGTTACTACTTATCAGCTGTCTGACCTTGAGGAGGGTACTTAACCTCTGTGTTCTTCTGTTTCTTCATCTGTAAAGTGGAGATAATACTAATGCCTACCTCATAGGGTTGTTGTGAGAATTAGCTGGCTGTAAAGTGCTTAGGATAATGTTTGGCCCATAGTAAGTACACCTCAGTAAGTGTTAGTGGGTATTAACATTTGATGCCCCACATCCCTTTCAGAAAGTATTCTGTAACTAATACAACCCTCACGGACCTGAGATTCATATTGCACTTGGTGTTAGGGGCATCTTTTTTTTTCCTTAACATTTACTTGGTCAGTGCCCTTCAGCCAAAGACCATCAAGAACAACCCTGTAGTTAGACAAATGGGGCTTATTACAGTGATGGAGTTACAGTGATGGAGAACCCTCACTATGAGAACTATAGAGTGTCCCAGTAAGAAGGAGTTAGAAAGGACTTAACTCCAGGATTTGGGCTTTGGTTGGGTGATTTGGGGAAGGGTCTAAGGAAGCAGGGTTTCCCTCTAGATTGGATGCTGTCAGAAAGCTGAGGCATTCTAGGATTGAGTGTCTCAATAAATCATCTGTAAGGGGGGGAGACTAGCCCGAGGATAAGCTGTAATTGGCAAAGAAGCATAGTCACTCATTTTGGCTGAGAGAGGGAGTGTTCGGTATTCTCTGGGTGGCACGGTGACCTTAGTTTTTGGTCTGTGCTCAGACAAAATTTTGAAAGTGGCCTTTGTCTCATTTTATTATGGTCTCAGAACACTGTCTCTAAGGTTGGTACTCAGTGAGATAGTTTATGTTCAGTAGGAGAATAACAAGGCTTAGCTGTGAGTGCTAGGTCAGCTTCTAAATGTCGGGGACTGCTCTTTTTTTCTTTCTCAACTTGTTAAATAACTGTTATTTGTGCTGGTTTTCTCCCTCCAGGGACATTGTAAATGAATGTGTTTATTCATTTAACAAAACACCAACTGAGTATCTGTATCTACTACATACCAGGTACTATGCTTAACACAAGATTCAGTGGTAAAAACCAGTGCAGTCCAGGAACGCAAGAGTCTAGGACAAGAAGAGCTTTTAACATTGTTTCAGTCAGCAACTATTTTGCTGGTTTAAATGCCTTCTCCAGCTTCCCCACAAAGAAGTACTCTAGCCTGTGTCTAGTATTCCAGTAACAGGGAACTTCTACCCACACTAGACAATACCAAATGTCAGAAAATTAATTCTTACTTGCCTTCGTTATCTCTCGCCCTGTATGTTCCACCACTTGGTCCTATGTCTGCCCGTTAAAGACACACAGAACAAGTTCCACACCTGTTCCCTGTTGCACCCCTGCATGTAATCAACCCAGGGAAGGTGAAAGTGAACTCTGGATTCTCATGTTTCTGCACTGTACTGACTACTGTTAAGTTATTCACAAAAGAATATTTTATTTCAACAAGTAATTGAATGCCGATTCCGTGTTCTGCGTGGCTTTGCTATGTAGCTCTATTTTGTCTGATTAGAAAATAGAGACTAAGCCGCTAAGAGTTTTCCTAATTAGATCAGTGGGTAGACAAGTAGCTATAATTGAGCCTGAGAGCAACAAACACTAGATGGCAGCATCTTACTTCAGAATTGTCATGACAAACTCCTTGGGAGCTGAATTCGTATCTCTGAATTTTAGAGAACACAGTAAAAGCGCCTCCAGAAATTACCAAGAAATCATTCCCTTGATGCCAGGTGGGACAGTCCCTGGCCAAATCCAGCTGGAAAGGTATTTATCCCATTGATAATAATTGCTGAGAAAAGTTGGCTCCTACCCAGTAGTAGGTATCCCTGGATGGTACAAACAGTTGACACACTTGTCTGCTAACCAAAAGGTAGGTAGTTCAAGTCCAACTAGAGCCGCCTCTAAAGAAAGGCCTGGCAACTGGCTTCCAAAAATCAGCCATTGAAAACTGTATGGAACACAGTTCTACTCTGACACACGTAAGGTCACTATGAGTTGAAATCAACTCAATTGCAACTGTGTTTTTTTTTTTTACTCAGTAGTAGTCTGTTCTAATGTTTTAGAATCTTGCCTGTTGAAAGTTCTTGCTGAATAACCCACCTATATGCTATCATTTAATCTTATTTTCTTTCCTTCCTTCATATAAGGTTTGATTTAATCCAGCAAATAATTTGGGCACTTTCTGAGTCTATAAAC